ACATTGGGATAGATTGAGTTATATTCTTCCATAATTTATCACTATGGACTTTACATTAAATGATTTCTAAAAGGAATCGCATCGGGTAAAGATTAGACTTTATTGTATTTCCTTCACTGTCTTTCACACTCAAACGAAGAATACTCACGTAATCAAACGATGTGGTACTGAGCTGTATTGGATTGTGTGGATTAAAGGTTATCTTTTCTCCAATCTTACCTACCTCTACACATGCTAAGATTTGTGAGGACTTGGCCTCACCATTGACTTGTTTGAGGACTTGGGATGGGTTGACGAGGTCACAGTAGATAAAAATAACGTCAAGAGTTTTTAATTGTATCTCGTGTTGAGACTCTGCTTTCAGCCTTTGGTTTTTGAGCCCTAATAAATCAGCAAGCGAATTATTCAGCACTACGTTTTGATGAGCTGTGATTGATGATTTATCAATGGAGACTGGCTTTTTACCAAGATATAAAGCCCCATCTATAGAACGTTTCAATGTTTCAAATGTATAATGAGCCGGAGGAATACGAAGGATAATGTTTTCACCGTCAGAAACAGTTCCCTCTTTAGGAAGATTATTTCAGCGATTATAAAATGTACAGCTACGCAACGTTATAAACCCCAGTCTTTTTATGGGATTTTTCAAGTAGACTGTGAAATCACCAACTTTACCTTCAATGTAGAGTAATACCATTTTTTAATTCTCTATCTCCTCTTTTTAAATTGTTCTACGAAATAGACAACCACAGCGACAATGAGAAGCCACGCGTTTTTGGCTAAAAAGCCAACAACTTCACCTGCCGTTTTGAAAATGAAACTGGCTATTGCACCAACCATTCCAGGGAGTATTTCGCCTAATTTTTTACCTATGGTTTTCGAACCATTTCCAACACTTTTGGCAACGCTTGTCAATCCCTTTTTCAGATTAGAGACGATAACTCCAATGACCACCCCCACAGCGGTAACCACAGCAACGGCGGTAAATCCGTATTTCTTAAAAATAGCCTTTACACGGTCCTTCAGAGACATTCGTTCCTCTATAGTCTCATTATCCCGCTCTAGCTGTTCAATCTGACTTTGTGTTTCATCAATCTGCGCATCTATGGTTTCTCTTTGATTCTCGGGGATTTCCTTACGCTTGGTCTCTAACTGTCTCAACTTTTCTTCTCTCTTTGCAACCTCTCCTTCGTTGGATTGGATAATCTCTTCAGCAGATGGTCCAAGGCTTTTCTTGATAGAAGTTGGAAGCTTTTCATTCAATTCACCTCCTGCATCAAATAAGGGATAGGCCTTCCCACCCATCCTCTTGAGCTTTACGACGATGTCGCCATATTCATCTAGAGTAGCTGTGAAGGGTGATTTCGCAGCGTTTATATTAGGGTATTTTGCACGGATTCTATCCCAAGCGTTTTCAATTCTTTTTTCTCTGCTTATTAGCGGGGTATGTTCATCCACGCCATGAATGAAAGATGTTTCATCTGTGGTATGACGGTGGAAAGGCTCGTGAGTTGATGTTGAGGTCACCCGTATAGATTCTCCCCCATCATCATCACCTGGATCAACAGGTTCGAAAGGATTTTCTCTATTAGGCATTTCTGGGTCAATGTCCATTTCTTATTTTATTAGTAAATAAGAAATCTTTAAAACTTATAACCATTTACTGGCAACATAACCTAGGGCTAACATTCCACCTCCAACATATGCCATCTCTGCATAGCAAAGCTGTACCCTCTCCCTCCCTCTCTCTCATAAAACCGCTGGCAATGAAACCCCGAATACCTCTGGTAACAAAATAACTTTCATGTCAAGATAGGAATGCACATAGGTCGTACCTTTCTTCGCATTCATCCAATGCATCTTTAATCTTTTGGATGTGATTCTTGTCAAAAACATCGTGTACAACAACAAATCCATCTCTCTCGTACTGCAATATCCAATCAAAAGAACCCAGTTGCAGACAATTATAAAAATTCCACATCCTTGATCCCTATTGTTGTCTGTCTGGAAGTAAGCTTATATATCTTACAGCCCCACAAGGAACAAATGCATCACAATATAGACGATGTTTCTGATCTTAACGCTCTGTTTTATCGATGAGGAGGAAACTAGAATCGGTTGGGTTAGTTATTACTTGTTTTTTTGTCAGCATGCAATCAAAGAACTTAGTACGAGATATCAAGCTAATTAAAGTACCTGTTCTTTCTGTTGATCCGCCAAAGAGACACGAACCGAGTAGGCTTCAAACGACTNATAGGAATGCACATAGGTCGTACCTTTCTTCGCATTCATCCAATGCATCTTTAATCTTTTGGATGTGATTCTTGTCAAAAACATCGTGTACAACAACAAATCCATCTCTCTCGTACTGCAATATCCAATAAAAAGAACCCAGTTGCATTTAAAGACAGTTCTAAAAATTCCACATCCTTGATCCCTATTGTTGTCTGTCTGGAAGTAAGCTTATATATCTTACAGCCCCACAAGGAACAAATGCATCACAATATAGACGATGTATCTGATCTTAACGCTCTGTTTTATCGATGAGGAGGAAACTAGAATCGCCGTTGGGTTTTTTTGTGAGCATGCAATCAAAGAACTTAGTACGAGATATCAAGCTAATTAAAGTACCTGTTCTTTCTGTTGATCCGCCAAAGAGACACGAACAGTAGACTTCAAACGACTAGTAACACCCCTAAATGTCTTTTGTAAATGCAAGGAGCKTTGCACGAAACGTTGTTGTCCGAGCCAGAGATTGCAAAGCCTTAAACTTCCTTGTAACTGCGACATGTTTGCATTGGAACGGAAACCGAGTAACTCACACCACATAGCGCATGCGCGACAATGGGATACCGTTACACTGTCACGGATGAAAATTAAGACACAATCATTTTACAAACACACACAAAAAACATTTGATRTTTTCGTATCGTAAGCATTTTWAAGACTTTTTCCACATGATGTCGTCAATTTCAATGCGCCGGCAAAAACTGATTGTAAAARCTTTCGTTACCATGATGTGCAGCTGGCCAATAGTCGATTAGTTTTTAATATAATCGAATACCCCACCACTCAAACCCTCACTTGTAGCCGCCGCGGATACGGCTACGGGTCAGATACACAGGAATACCAACATATGTATATAAACAACTTTCTCTATTACTCAATAACATTCTTGGACATTCTAATAGTACTATTTTATGATACAGGAATTAATAAAGTAGGATGAAATGTAAGCAAATACTAACAGTTTCAGTTTTAGTATTATCAACCATATCATAATATTTCAGTCAACAGCGCTTTCGCTTGCTGTTTTGACGCAATCCAACCTGGACGATTCTTTTACGAGTGACTTTATACATATTTTATTTTCGATAGAGACTTCTTATTACAATTCTTTTTAAAATGACCTCCAATATTAACTTTGAGCATACAACTTAGCGAAAGCGTTCTTAGATAACTTTTACATGTATAGTCAAATAACAATACACTGCTCTCGATCATTAACACACAATAGCTTCACAGATATTATACTTTACAACACCAATAATTTATTCAAACTTAACAATACAGAGGCTTTGTTTCTTCTTCATAAAACATCGCAAAAGCGCAAACATTTACTTAACGCTTA